GTCGTTGTTTCTTAAGCTCCCTCATAACAGAGTACTTATTGAAAACATATTTTGCTATATATGGCTTGTTCCAGCGCTTTTTCTTTCTGGTTATAAGCCCCCTCCCTTTATAAGCTTTCCTACATGATTGTTACGTTAGGATGTATTATTAACCGCATCTATGCTGATATTTCAGGTCCAGAGGGAAGTGCTTGAATCACATATCCAGTGTGAGACCAGCCATCATCTTCATTTGAGTTGTTGTAAATTAAACGGCACTCAGGATGAAGTGAGAAAACTTCAAACTAAAGGGAGGAAACTTATGGAGAGAGAAAACATCCGCCACAATGAAATTGAAGAAAGAGTGCAGGCCCTTGAAAACTATTTTGAAGAAAGAATGCAGGCCCGCCAAAATCAGTCGGAAGAAAGAGCACAGGCCCTTGAAAATCGTTTTGAAGAAAGAGTGCAGGCCCTTCAAAATCATTTTGAAGAGAGAGTTAACGTGCTAACAGATATCAATCATAAATTAAAGGGTGATCTGAATACCACTCGCATGACACTCTTATTTTGCTCTGCCGTTCTTATCGTTATCATTGCTGTGTTGCTTGGCCGTTTGGAAACAAAGCTCGAACAGCAAATTAATGGCGTGCAAAACAAGCTTACAAGGAAAGTGGGTGAAGTGGAAAAGATTCTGGAATTTAAAGTGACTGATGTACGAGGACAGTTGATGAAGGATATGAATGAAGTTAAAAAAAGTCTGGAAGTTAAAATGGAAGATCTTGAAGATAGGGTAAGTAATGCATGTAAAGAAAATAACTAGAAAATAACTTGATGAAGATTATACGACATTTAAGAAACGATACCGAATACGAATAAACTTCAAAGGACAGAAAGAAGGCTTGTAAAACATCCTCACACAAAACTGGTTGAAAACATGTTTTGTATTTTATACTATGTATGGGTTCCTACGATCTTGTACAAAAGAGTCACATTTTGCAATTCTTTTTTCTCCAAACTCATTGCTGCAACGTATGATGAATGAAAATGAAAATGTTTAGCTCATTACCGTTGTCTAAAACATGAGCTACTGCGGGATAATAGATTAAACCTGGCCAGGTGACATCCCGCCAAACGGAAATAACAGCAAAAAAAGAGTAAATATATTTTAAACTTGCTAAGACTTTAGCCTCGGAGTGGATACAGCTGTTTTTGTTTACTGGGGCTCCACTGACTTGTGCACGCTGTGCGGTGAAGCCAATATTTTCCATGGCTAGCGAGCCGTCATACAACAGTTTCCCAGTGATACGTGTACCCCAGGGGGAGGGGGGGGGATTACTTTAGAAAGTTTTGGGTGGGGATGTGCCGCTGGGACCCTGGAGCCCTCAGCATACTAGTACCAGACTTGGTTCAACTGAATTTTGTCAACCTATAGTAGACTTGACTCCCAGAATTCTTCCCTATCTTAGAGTCCGTCTATCAACGCCCTTAATCTTTGCTACTAAACTAAGTTGCTGGTAAATTTAAATTTGCGATTTGATTTTTGCAAGTGTGAAATCCCAGTGTTTCTAGTCCAATTGATCAGTTTTCCGAAAATTATTCTAGACCCAAACTTCATGATCTCTATCCCAGACGAAACTTCTTGAAGACCACACCCTTCACAGCGGCACATACCTTTATAGCCCTAGCCTGTTCTAGGTTCCGAGATGGTTGCGTCCGCTGAACTGAGAAAGAGCAAACACTTTCGCGTCTTGCCCACTATCTGAGAGCCTGGAACAGGCTAATATAGCCCATATATAGACAGTAAACCCCAGGACGTATACACTTGTATCACCTGATGTGCACTATTTACAAGCAATCCGTAACATTATATTATTATTAATACTTTTAATAGAAGACAACTGTGATAGACTAAGGGGAAAGAACATCTGATAAATGTATCCTCAATAACCAGAGTAGTTACTGTCTTTCAAGCTGGTTGCCGCCATGTTCAAAATATATGCAATTACAGCGACAAAAGTACGTAACATGTCAATTACTTATATGCGTTCTTGAATCCTAACATGATTCATTCTTGGGTATCAAAAAGTAAAAAGCAAGGCGAATTGGATAATCGTATGTTTTTACAGGGTGGGGCGACTGCGCACCTTTGTGATCCTTCTCCTAGATCTACAACTGTTAACGGCAGTTCCAAGCGTATATTCCTCAGTACTGAAAAGGTCTTTGGCCTGGCCTGGAACGTTATTAAGAATTTATTCGGAGCCATTATGTAGACATTGAGGGATGGAGATGTAAATTCTTTTTTTACATCAAAGATGTTGTGTTTCTATACTTCAGATTGAGAGGTACCCTGAAGAACACTGTGATTTGTTTACGTGGAAGATAACCAACTTTGGTGAAGCCTTGAGAAAAGCTAAAAGTGGAGAGAACACTAGTGTATACAGTCCTCCATTTTACGCTTGTGGATATAAAATCAAGGTAGAACTGAATCCGAACGGCTAGAAAAGTGGAGAATACACTCACCTGTCGATATACATAACAATAATAAAAGGTAAAAACGATGCATTTTTAACCTGGCCTTTCCAGAAAAAGGTGCAGGTTACGCTGATTGATCAACAAGAAAATGCAAACGACAGGAAGGACATTGTTATGTCCTTCAGTGGACACAATAATACTGAATGCTTTGGGAAGCCGGTGTATGATGAAAACCTTGGGTATGGCCGCCATCAATTTGTATCCCACGAAAACCTACTGGAAAGGCGCTACATTGTGGACGATACTATTTTTCTTCAGGTTCGCATCACGCCATCATTATGACTGTGACTTTCAAAATAGAATCCGTACTTGTAAAACCTTATTACCTTTCATAATGTACTTTTTATGCATAGGTTTGATAATAATCTTAAGAAAAAAAAATTATCAGCTTCATGGAACCTCCCGGGGGTTACTCCCTAATGGCCTATACGGGGTGGCTCCGATAAACTGTGTGTGTATTTTTAGCTCTTCAGAGCCAGTAGATCCCCATGTCAATCCCTTTAACCTTTTACGTTTACTCGCGACCTCTCATACATCTTCCCTTTTTTTCTTTACTCACGTTAAATAATAATGTGGCGCCAAAATGAAGCCCGATCTTGTTTAATAAAAATTTGAGGCTTGTTTCCTCTTAATCCAAATATTTGTCTTGCAGTTTACTACTAACCTTTCTTGCTATCGATGCCGCACCTTGGTTTTATAGTGGACCACCAACCCATCTTCGTCAGCAACAAACTCATCCGCTTAACGCAGGACAATAGCATAGAACCGAGTTGCTTGTTTGGTCAAAATGATTTTCTTTCATAAATTTCACCATTAAGCCTGAGTTGTGTCAATATGAAGCAAGGAAAGCATTGTAGAGATCACAAAGTATAAGCTCTTAATAGTTACATAGATAGTGTAAAATAACAGTACGTTTCTCCCGGTCGATTTCGGTAAATTGTTGTGTTCATCAGCGAACGAGCTCCAGCAAAACTCAAATGCTTCTTCTAGAGAAGACTATCTTCCACAAATATTGACTTTTTTGTTAGAGATTCATCTCGTTTACATTTGACCTTTGTGGCCTTTTGTCTTTTGTCTGTCATTTGTAAACAATAGCTAAAACAATTTAACTACTCCGTCGACCAATCAGCGCTTCTGACCGGATTCCGGACAGATTTTACGTCATCAGTATGGAATTTCTGTCAATGAGTCGCAGACGTTCCTCCGCGCGAAACGTCCCCAGCGGCGAAGAGCGAGGAGAATTGCGAAACGGCTGTTTTAGCAGGCTACGAGTTCCACACCACTGACCATTTTAGATGCGTTAATCTCAAGTAAGAAATATCAACTGCTTGAATTTGGTCGAAAACACGAGGAACAAGCTGAAAACCGTTTAACAAAGATAGAAGCAACATTTCCTGGAAATCTACCACGAAAGGTCAGGCCGACATTGTATCTTCAAACTTTGAACAAAATCTTAAGTGTGAACATGCTTATCACAAACGAATTACTTTCCCTCAGGGGCGTAGCAAGTCATTTTTTCCTTCTAAGCCTGAGTTAAGGAAGCCTTGAAAGGGTGGGGGGCGAGGGAAGAGCTATGGGAGTGTTAAGTAAATAAAGAACCATTCAAATGCTTTGTTAAGTACATTTTAACCCGCATTGCTCTTTCATTGCTCGCGTTTTTATTGTCTTACATTCTATTCATTTGTGAAAGGTTTGAACCTAGGAATCATTTCATAAGTTGTCGAAACGAAAGTCACTGTCAACAAATTTTCTATTGGCAGGACTACGCTCACCCCGACGATCATACCCCACCAACTTATTCTATTCATTTGTTCATTCTCAATTTCCTAGCCATTGGTCAGACTGCCAATTATTTGAAAATGTAAGTGAATCACTTCTCTACCAGAAAAACTAACTCAAAAGCTTCCTGAGGCCACCATTAGCCGCCATTACAGAATAGAACCGACAAACTCCAATTGTTTTTTTCCAAATTATTGAGAGGTCAAACTAAAATCAAGTGATCACGACAGTTAAATCAACGAAGATTTAAGTGATTTAAATTTTCACAGCAATCTAGTCTTAAGCAAGGGATAAAAAGCTATTTTTAACTGATTACGAGATTGAACATTGCCATTGATTCACTAATTAGACATGTATCCGCCAAACCACCATTGGGTAGTCGCCTCGGTTCCTGCGGTTGCTGCGGTACATCGGAATCTGGGGTTGACTTTGTCGTAGAAACCAAAGTTGTCTTCACTTGGTACAGCCCCTACAACAGGTGCGAAAGTACAGCCAGTGGCACCGCTATCGATGTGAATGAGCCAAGTGTTAGACGCCTACCAAAACTTAGCTGTGGCACCGGCACCTCTAGCCACGTGTCCAAGGATGTTCACATACTCTACTGGTTTGCACTGGCCTGAACCAACAAAATTCATGATGTCGAAACTACTGAACTTGCCTCTCAAGTAATCTCTGTAGTCGAACGATTTCCGGAGGTTTTGGAAATCCGGTCAATTGAAACTGCATGTTGCACGCCAGTGAGTTGAATGGCTTCGGACACTTTTCATTCGAGCAAGAGTCTGGCGGTACGCATCCCAGTTTGGATTGTTTTGATTGATTGGTGCATCTTGTGAAAAAGCCTTCGTTTTAAAACTTGGTAAATTCTTTGATCCTAGGTTCCATGACATCACCAGTGTCCAAGCTGCATTCGGTTCCGACGAGAGGTCTCGATAAGTCATAAAGCGCTTATCGTTATTGTCAAAAAGCCAGTAATAGCCGTTGCTCGTCACACCATGTTGAAGGTAGTCAAGACAAGCCCGGGGTATGAAGGCATTCGTTTTCACATAGATGTCATTTAAAGTCTACTTTTCATAAGAAGATATTGAATGAATAAATTAGCTCAAGTCTTACCAGTTCTTTTGACAAACGTTCTTGCAGTTTTGGGCACAGGAAAAAGAAGTCATTTTTTTCGTCTTCGCGCTTTCTCAATTCAGCGGGCCCGACTCTCTTGGAGCCTGGAACAGGCTAGGGTGGATTGGCTATTATGGCGATTCGGGTTGCATTTTTATAAGAGTCACTAGAATGGAATGGATTTTGGGGTTCAGGAAATTCAGGTATGTAAGGATTTAAGAGTAGAAAGATTTACACCACATTAAAAGGGCGAAAGACTGACTTGTTATTGTCAGTAGTTTCCCCTTGAGTACTCAAAAGATGTAAAAAACGTGAAAACGCGGTAACTTTTAGAAATTTTTGTTGAGACTTTCAAAATTCAATCTGGCGGACCGTGTAATTATGACTAACTCAATGAGAATGCGGGTGTCATGACTGTGCCCCTTTAACAAAGGTGTCAGTTCATTTCAGGATGGCCAAGTTTAAAGGCTTTGCAAGGTGGATGCATAAACAGAAAGTAAGTTGGTATTGCGAAAATGGCTTTTTTTTCCAAAGAGACTAAGGCGGGGTCTTTAATATGGCCCCAAAATAGACTATAATGGGATACACCCCCCTCCCCCCTGGGAACGTACATGGACCGTTCGAAGTTACGCTAATGTAATCGCGACAAAGTGTGAGCACATACATACTCTTTTTTTGGAGAAATTGTAACATGTTATTTTTGAAATAACAATTCGAAAGAATCAGTCTTTGAATCTTTGAATAAGCTACGTTAGCAACAGTCAGTTCCCATTAATACCAGTAATATTACATCTTACGGTAAACTGTTGGATTCAGTCGTTGCAGGATTTTATGAATCATTGAGACGAAACGTAGCTTTCTGTATGCATCATTTCTGTTAATTCTTGCAAAAAGGGAAATCTTTTTTAATGTCGCTACTTTCGACGTGTCGTTATTTTCGGGGGGTCGCTGAATTTCGGGGGGTCGCTACTTTGGAGGGTCTCTGCTTTCAGTGGGTCGTTACTTTCGGAATTTTACGGTATATTGTATGCGATAAAGGGTATGCTCCACTTAGCAAGATACACCAGGTGTCTCCGGAATTCATTGCGGTTTTCGACCCAAATTCGACTTTTAAGTGTGGATTTCAGTTTCACGTACAGGGAAGTAACAAATTCCAGGAATTTTTAGTCTACCGCACACTGGCCACAAAAATGACGCAATGCAAGAGCCTAATCAGCCAGACTAAATTACTCAATCGAAGGTGTCAAAGGTTGTTGAGTCAGGCAAGGAGAAAATAAACTGAGAGCGACATAGTGCACGTAGCCTGTGTATTTTTTTGAGGAGAGGGGAGAGGGCGGCTGTACACAGGCTAAGTTCACGCAGTACTCAAGCTAGATACGAGTAGACATTTTTTTTACAACAAATAATCCTGTTTAATGGTAGTACACATCTTTTAAACTGCAATTTGAGATTGAGTGTTTGTTCTATGATGCTTGGCATGTCCAAGTTTGCTTCGAAATGAATGGTGAATTAGAGGGACAAACGTTTTGTAATTCTACGCCCAAATAACAACTTTTTACTAAGTAACGGAACATCGCCCAAAACGATTCTTGATTGTGTACTAGCTATAGTAAAAAAGGAAAATACAAATTCGTTTGAGCAGTTCTGGAAGGATTCTTTATCACAGAACCTTACCTTTGAATTTTTTTCAGGACGGTCCTCATAGGGCTCAAAACCCAGCCATTGACTTCCTACCTGAGTTCCACCAACAAAACAAAGCAACAGAAAAGCTACCTGAGAATTCATCTGGTCTGGGACTGGTAAAATTAGTGCTGTAAAAGAACTTGCAATGCCGCTTCACGGGAGGACACTCGTCTTCTTCCAGAAATGGGACTTCTGCTTCTACTTGCAGGGTGCGTAGGATACAGTAAATAAAGTTTAAGTCTCTGTTTGGAGAAGCACGTGCGCAAACAAAATATACTAATTTATTTCCGTATAAGGAGACAATAGACTTACGAAGACGCACTTATACAAAATATACCGTCAATCACAAAAATACGAGCTTTGGCACATACCCAAGGGGTACATACGTCTGTTTGCAATGCGCAAGCGGGAATAGAGCGTGTACGTGTATGGGGGTGTTTGGTAGGAGGAGTGATGGGTGGGAGTGGGGGGGGGGGGGAGGGGGGAAGGGGGGGCTGGTTCTCACAGTCACAGCGAATACTTAAAAACAAAGCCTTGTCTCATAAGAAGAGTAATTTAATATTTTTTAGTCTGCATAAGAAGGGTTACTTAATCCGGTCCGAGGAGAACTGGGTCCTTGTCGCCGGAGCT